CGCAATATCATCATGTGCTTGTCTTTGCTACCAGGTGTAGCGTGTGTGGGTGGGGGTGCCTTCAAACATAAATTACCAATAAACACACATTGTATTTAGTGTCAGGGAATTAATTGAGCTTTCTGGAATGAAAGCCTTTTGGCACAAAAATGATAAACCGAGGTTGACCTACCTGAATGGGTCCCACTGACATCAGCAGGTTTTTCAGTTGGACATCAGTAGTTGATGAAGAAAGCCCTTCAACTGACACAATACAGGGCTGAGGTTTGCACTCCACCACTCGCAGGTTCTGTTTATTTGGCATCAAGCGTCCTCGGCCCATCTGGCCTGCTACTCCTCTGCCTCTGCCGTGCATAATGACCTGCCAACAACAAAAGTAACAGTATTTTGATTTACTTACCTAGTGCTTCTGCTCGCTGCGTTTGACAGACGATATAAAAGTTGGCCATTTACTTAAAGACTTGATTAAAGTACATGTTGATTTATAACAGCTTGTTGCTGCTTGCTGATTTGAAAGGCCACTTATTAATATATTCATCCACTGCTTATACAAACCTCTTTTAGAAGGATAGCAAGTTACACATTGAGTTATATCTATTGCATTGAGGCTAAAAGCCTCAGCTTTAGCACAGATCAACCAAGCAGTGGAGGGTCTCAGACCAAAACATATACTCTAGTTTTCAACACTGATCACATTAGCAGCATGTGTTCAGCTCCCATGTTTTGAGTCTGGCCAAAAAAAAATAACCAGTGATCCCTCTCCTTTTTATCTTCTCAACCCACAGGTAAATCTAATGTACCCACAAGACCAGCAAACTGCTTCAAGCACCTCCAGCCTCTACTGAAACCAACTCTTGGTCTGTTATCAGGATGGAGTACTTGCACACACTAACTTTAAAACAACTTTCCCCCAAATCCTGTAGGATCTGGTGCCACAGTATCCTCTGAAGCAGGAAATGTGTGGATTTAATTCTTGTAAATTAAAGGTTGAACAGTTGGAGAGAGGAAAAATAACGACAAGAGTAACAAACATTAAACAGAGTTAACACTTAACATTGAGTTAACACTCAACACAATTTCTCGATTTCTACTTGGAGAGTCTATGGAGGTTAACGACTTTTCACACTCCTCTGCATCAGCATGGAAACTTTATCCTTACGTGAAGCAGGAAGATTACTGCCAACAGTTTAGAACCAACAAGTAACTTAAAAGCCAAAATACCAGCTATTTTCAGGGAGCGTGCCAGTTTGCAAATGCAGAGTAGGCACACACCACTGCCACCTGAACCCTCTCCCTGCCTCCTCCCAGCGCACGACCAGTGCAAAAATCAAGTTACAAGATCATCAACTGTTTTTAGCGATACCAACTTTGAGGACTGACCAAAGAGCATCCTGAAACAGTCGCTGTCTGCTCCTACATATGCAGGAAACAGCTACAATAAAAGCTGAAGCACAACTTTGGAAAAACTCTTGGCTTTAAGGCCAGAAAGCAAGTTGGATAGCTATCATCGCCTACAGTAGCTATCTCGGGACGCACGCATTTCCTCCAGGGAGTACTGTGCTGGCCAGAAAGGCAGCAGCTGAAACAACCAGCAGGCATCTCCAGTCGGTGCTGGGTACAAACAGGCCTTTCTAGATAAAAGCTTTATATGCAATTATGCATCTCCTGGGTCATGCAGCCCTGCACTAGCAATTGACAAACAGAATGCTAGTTATTCATAGAGCAACACAGCTAGACAGTAAAACTTCTAGCAGCAATATGCATCTAAAAATCACCTTTTTAGGTTGATGGATTCCCTGGATGTTTTTGACTCCTTGAGGAGCTGGTGAATGGATCTGTGCCTGCTGTTGGTGCTGCTGCTGTTGCATTCCCTTTGTCAATGTGACCTTCCGCACTGGCTGCTGTTTCGGCTCCGGGGGTTGTTGAGGCCGCTGGGGCTGGCCCTCTGGGTGAAAAAAGCCAGCATCCTCTCCCCCCTGCTGAAATCAACAACACAACAGGCGGCTCAATGTCCAGGCACTGCAAACCCTCACCCTGAGCAGCCTCCTGCCACATCCAGCTCGCTCAGTGCACAGAACACCAGCGGTTTGCCTGCTAAAGCAAACCGGCAGCTGTGGCAGGCGTGTGCAAGGGCTCAGCCTGGAAATAGTGCTTCAGCCTAAAGTAAATCCACGGTATCTGAGGAACAGGACTTTGTTCAGACTGTAATACATTACAATGTTCAATAATGTCTTTTCATATACAAAACAGCAAGGTGTTTTCACTTCTCTTTCCAAATCATTCCTCCTTCCAGGTTACATGTGAACTATGGTGTGCATTAGGGGTTTTTGTTGTTGTGGGCTTTTTTTGTGGGGGTGGGTGGTTTTGGGTTTTTTTTCCTCTTAAGAGAGACATACACAGTGCAGAAGAAGGAGCAAAGAACTGTGAGGGCTGGAAGAACCAGGCAAATACTCTGTTCATCTTTAAAACAGCAACCTCTCTTTAGTTAAAAACTGGTATTTATTTTGAAGGGCATACTTATTCTGTCAACTTCTATACCAGCAGCCTTTAAGCAGTCTCCTTCCTCAAACACTGTATGTACTTGGAATAGTTCTTCCCCATGTTTTTTTGTTTGTTTGCTTTATAAAGCTCTTATTATAGATATTTATAATCACAATGAAACACCACCTCAGTGCCTCTCATACAACGTTGCTTTTTCCACTAAATCTCTCAGTGCAGTCAAGCACATTAAAAGCACAAGTTGAAAGCACTGAGAAAGTACTCCCTTCCACTGCCTCTACCCAAACAGTTCAGCTTTTTCTACAAACAGACAAGCGATTCTTGAATTTGTGTGCCTCTGTCCAGATCAGATCAATCACTGAAAAACATCCCACGGAGCACCAGACAGCAGAGCTGACAAAAGATCAGGTACTTTCGTATCTATAAAGCACATCGTACTACTGCATGGTTTCAACAGCAGTATCTGTACTCCAACTTTAGAACTCAAATACTTGTAAACGTTGTATCTGCAGGGGGAAGGCATTGTCCAGGTCCCTAACCAAACTCAGCAAAAGCTCTCAAATAGAAGGCATGTCTAAAGTGGAAAAAAAAATATGAAAATATCTTTATTTACATTGGGGTTTTTTTCCCTTTTCTTAAATAGTCACAAGTCAAAACTCCTTTTGCATCTGTAACATACGTCACAAACCAGAAGGTTTCATACTAATTGGCATGTTTCTTGCAGATAAAGGAACAAAATACAAGGCTGTAGAAGGAACAGGTTTATGGTCTGAGATTATCATGACTGCGAATATAAATAATTACCTCTCTACTGGGATTAAACAAAGGCAAAAGAAACACCTACTGAGGACTGGTTACTAAGTCTCTATCATTGGAAGAGAAATAGTCTGGTACAGGTGATATGTAGGACAGTCTCATGTTTGCAAGCTCACTAGTTCACAATTCACACCCCTAAATCAAGTCCTCTGTATTATCAAGTATACGCCGGATTCAACTTCGCAAGAACTCAGCTACTCAAATTCCAGACAAATCAGCTTCATCACCCCCTTGCATCATCTACACTTCAAAAAGCACAATCTGTCATAGGGAAAATCTTGAAGCTCTTCCCACTTAAGGGCTTTCATCCACAGTGTCCAAAGCAAGAAGGCAACAGAAAACTGCACGTCTAATCATATGGGTTTTTGTCTGCTCAACTGAATGGCTTCATGGCTTCGCAGAAAATTTTGTATGTAAACCTTGAAGAGCAGGAACTAGTGAGAAGTTATAAAGCTTTCCCTTCAGAGTCTCTCTCTTCAATTATCACTCAAAAATATAAAAGCAACAGCTCTCCTCCTCTCCTGAAAAACCCAAACATACACACACAAACAAAACTTTACCAGGACACCAGCATTAAATCCTCCTCATTTTAGTATTAGTTCCTCTATCAGCATCGCTATGAGCCCTATGCCCTGATCAGATAATTTCTTTTATTCAACCCTACAGCAGCTGGAAGATGATGAAACTAAAAGGAACAAAAAAATTCTAGGAGGAATTTAAACACATAATTGGGAGTTAAAATCTAATCTCTGCTAACTGCCTGCTGTGAAAAACAACCATAAATACTTGCAAGCATTTCTTTCCAAATCAAAAAGCAATCCCAGCACATAGGAAGAGCATCTGAGAGTGAAGCTCTCAGGTGTAAAACACATTGAACACGCTCATTACTGAAACTTCAAAAGCAAACAATCATTTCCTATAAAAGGCCAACAACCACCCAATATTTAACCACCAAGCCAAATTATCACCAGTAAAACTGTATAAACTAAACACACACCTATAACAGAGTCAAAGGCATCAGCACACAACATTGGTTCATACTGATGACAAATCTGATGGGGTTTGTTCCCTGCTGGGATCTCAAATGCCACCTTTGGGCTTCACTGCTAGCATGATGTTCCTGCAAAAGTCTGAAAACACAGAAACACCTCTGGACTTTTTAATGATTTATACATTTCAGAAATAAGAAAGCCTATACATAACAATAAAGAAAGTCCATAGGGTAAGAAGAGGGGATGGAGCAAGGTCTGCTCATTCCTGCAACAAGAAAGAAGAAAGGGGAACTGGACCAAACCCTCTCTTTATACTACTGCTCTGAACACCTACCGCTTTTTGAGATGATTTCAAGAGGGGAAGCAGAGATGGACCTGCAGCACCACTTCTCAAGAGAGCTCTATGAGCGAGCGACTTGGTGCTCAAGGACTAACAGCACACCCTGCAAGTCAGCAATACATCACTTCCCACTAGAGGTAGCCCTGGCTTCAGCTGAAGACAAAATTTGGTGGTTTTCTTAAGAAAATGAAAACCAAATACGTGCCTAACAAAACAACACAGCCTCAGATAATGAATTTCAGCACCAATTTCTTTTTCACCATTAAAGACATCACAATACAAGGAGGACAAGCATGGCTTGAGCCAAAAAACCCCAACAAATGCAGTAGTATTTAGCAGCAAATTAGACTCACCACCACCATTATCCTTTAAACTTCTTCTATGCAAGACAATTAGTGTCTTCTTCAGGCACATCAATGAAGAACTAAGTCAAGCAAAACATCCACAAAGAGCTTTTAACATCTGGACTTAAAGCTGCAAAACCTCAAAATACTACTTACAGGTCACACACTTATGAGAACATTATTGGTTTGAAGGAAAAGACGTAGATTGCAAAGATGACTACGTATGTTGGCTCTCGATTTTCACTCACAAGGTACACAATAAGCTGACACCCAGAAGGTAAAGCAAAACACACAGCAAAGCTACCGGCAAGCAGGTAAGTGAACTGAAGGTGTATTGCAGAAGCTACCCAAAATGATGTCTAAATCACAGAGGCTAAATTGCTAGCATCTCTGCTACTTAAAATGTCTCAGTTCTAGTTCATTTTAAATCAACTTTTGCTCTTCCCAAAGACAACTTCTGTATTGCTAATTTTTCTTTAGCTTACATCACTGCCCTCCCCAAATTTCTACATGTAGCAACAGATGGAGGTATTGAAATTTTAAGTCTTCTCTTGTCTAAATACATTTACATCTGCTTTTTTCTACAGCATTTTGGGATGTACAAGGCAATACTAAATTTTTCAGAGATGCATCTATCCGTCACCATTGCCTGCCTCATACAATTTGATGCACAAAGTGCTGAAACCAGGTAGAACACTTTTCAGTCCACCAGAGTCCTGAGATTGACTGATACAAGCTTTGATTTTATACTGCAAATTTCCTCTAAAATCCTCTGCAGAAAAGTCAATTTCCATTCTTTGTCTGCAAACCAATAAAGGAAGAATGTTTTTCTGTTATTGCCTACCACTTAATTTCTATATTACAAATCATTCCAACCTTCAAGCTCTAAATTTCCAAGTTTTAGAAAAGGTCTACCTTCCTAACACACAGCCAGGAAAGAGTTCTCTTGAACAAAACTTTACCACTATTCGGTTAATTCTGGAGTAATAAAAATGCCTTTTTTTAAGTGACAGGAGTTCTGTTCAGGGGAAAGTATAAAAACTATCTTCCAAATTTCAAGCAGTGCAAGATTGTTAGTGGCGCCAAAACGACAAGATAATTTCAATATTTGAAATTAAACAAAACTCGAAAGATTTAGGCAGAAGGTTTTGATCTACATGGTGAATGGTTTTCAACTTCTACTGTGGAAGAGTCTGCACAGTTTGATCTGAAAGTGGACTAACAAAAAACAGAAACTGCACCATTCAATGGCCATGGATTTCAGACAGATTCCCTTGATACTTACTTATTGAGGCTGCTTTTCAATAGTCAGACTCTCTCACTGCACATACATACATATAGCCAGAGTTGTGTTTTGAGAAACATAAAGACCATTCTGTCAAATATGAGATTATGAATTCTAAAAGCAGAATTTTATGAGGGTCTGCTTGAATTTAGCAAGCTGAAGCTCTCTACTCTATCATAATCATTATGACAGTTTTACAATGAAGATGAAGTTTATTTGCCACCAACATTAGCAGGACAAATTTATTTATAACAAATGCTTTAAAATGTACTGATAAAAATGCCTATTGATACTGTCAGAGCTGCTTGCAATTTGACAGATCAAATCTTATTTTCATTCTTAAACCCCATGAAGGAATGGTATCACCAACTTGCATTCTGTAGTGAGCAAATTGATTAATCCCCCTCTATAGAAATCTCAACTCTTGATTACACCTATCAGACGTTAAGCAGCATTATTCTAGAGTGACAACACTTGACAAATTCCCAAACCATTTTTCTCAGCCTTTGTGGCCCTGCTAGCTTGTATTAACCCTGATGAAAAATTAATTTTCCTTATCTTCTGCTAAACCCCAAAATCCAAATCCGCCAAACTGGCAACTCTTTCTGTAAAGGTATTATGAAAACCTCTAAAAGATTAATTGCATGTCTTCAGGTGACATTAAATTAATTTCTGTACTCGTGACAGACATTTGATACTCCGT